AGACAAGTGACTTTACAAACGGTATTGTAAATTCGCGAGTGAACTGGCATTTGAATACAATGAGAGTGACAAGTGACTTAACAAATGAAAGTGTAAATTCGCGAGTGTATCGGGAGGACAGCTGAGACAACGACACCTGAGAGGAGGACACCTGAGTGGAGGAGGAGGCATCGGACGCCATTGCAGAATCAACGTTGAAAAACTCCGCCGCTGCTCGTATCGGTGAGTGAAAAGTTTTTTTTATTAAAGTAACGGGATCTACATTTTTAGATCGTAGATTATAGATCGATACATTTCGTAGATCCGCTACGTTAAAATGGATAGGTTACAAATTATTTCACGTTTTATTAAATATATTTCATTTATCGAAGTGATTTCATAGAGCTCTACAAATCAGAATATGTTGAGCTCATATTTTATGTTGAAAGTCGTTGAACTACATCATAGAAATTACGCGACATGTGACGACTATTATCGATGTATTCGATCAATTAATCTTTCGTAGCCTATCCATTTTTAATTAAAGAATTGGTATATGTATAAAGTAGAATAATATGACGTGAGATTCCAATATGTTTTGTCGAGAATGCTTAAATTTGAAATTATTTTCATACTTTATTTGAGATTATCGATTAACTGTAATATTCAATTATATAATATCGGTGTCACTCGTGCGGCAAGTTGCTTTTTCCTGGATCTTACGTCATTTATTCTACATGTTTCGCGATACTTTCAAGATGCGTTAACAAAAATACATGCATAGTCACACGCATCTCGTATTTTCGCGGTCGATTTTCGCGGTCGGTTTTCGCGACCGGTTTTACACAACATATTCAAGAAATTATTAATTGTTTAATTTCATCCATATAAAACATTTTAATTTTTTATCGCGCAAGATAATTAAAATAAATAAAAAGCAAAGTAACATTTTTTCTATATTTATGTGCTTGAATTTTATATTCAAAGATAGAGTCACGAAGATACGGTCAATACTTTTGAGAACAGAAGTAAAATTACACTTTGATCAGTTTTAGAAATTAAATTCTTTAAAATTAAGTTTCTTCTTTAAATAACTTCTCTTCTGGTCGTGCATTTTTCGATACAATCGTCGCTTGCATATAGTTCGAAACGTACAAAATATCTGTCGTTAAACTATTTTTATTATAGTGAAAACATCATATTACAAAATACATAATAATGTAATTTATAGTAAACAGTATTAACACTAGTAAATAAAACAAAAGTTTATTTCTGCCATTTATTTTTACAAGAATTATTAAATACACCTATATCATAACTATTTATTTGCAAATACATCCATATTTTCGTGAATATAATAAGATACCATCATTCAACCATGTTTTGCCAGTAAAACCGATATATAACCACATGATGTTTTTAACACCTAAAAATAATTATGGCTTTATTCCGGAAAACATTTTCATACGTATTGTAATTAATTTTACGTATACATGTATGTACGAAATATGTCCATATGTTTTCTTTCTCTCGTATAATCTCTGTCTGTATAAGTAGAAAAAATAATAAGAAGAACAAGTAAAAATAATTAGAAAAATGACTATACCGATGTCCTTTTCGAAACATAAAGTTATGGTTAGATGAATAAAATTTTTATGAAAACATCACACAATTATATGCACAATTATGTACGGAATATATACAAATAGTTACAATAAAAGTCCACATTTCCTGCAAAAATTCTGAATTAATATATAAAAATTTTTAATAATCTTACACTGCAAAACGTAGCCAGCGTTAGGGGAATAACTTTTCCTGCGGTAATGTGAAGAGTACGACTGGTTCGTATCATTAATAAAATAAGATTTCTCGATTTTTTAGGTTCCAAATTGTACCATTCCAGATTATACATAGCACCAAACACAGCATCGCTCTTAACACAATACATATGCAAAAATATATTAAAATCGCATGTGTAATCTCCGGCATGAATGATATTCAATTTAACAATAAATTCGTACATAATTATAACGTGCAAAAACTCTTTGGTACCTACATTTTAACAATATATTAATATTTGGAAATTATTAGCTCAGACATATAAAACGGATTAAATTTACAATAAGTACGATAGGCTAAATTTGTACTATATTTATATAAGTCCGATAAAAAATGTTTCATGCATGAGCATCCATAAATATGTATATAGTATTAAATACAATTATACATGAATACGTCCACACATATTTTTACATTGTATATATTCATATAATTTTATACAATTTTATGTACAGCTCTATATAATTTTATAGATATATAAATGCTTTTATATGAAAAAATGTTTAAAGAAAAACTTGACACGACTGTAAGATGCGTCTTGTTTTATAAAATAATTGTAGATTGTTGAATTCCCTGAAAAGGACCACAACCCGCATGGTCGAAACGTCGGATTAAATGAATAAATAAACCATCTGCCAGCCTAAGTCGTCTAACAATTCTTTTTATCGTTGAACATTCTGGCGATTCACATTCTAAAGTTGTTAAAGAAAAAATGGTTTATTTATAATTATATATAACTTTGAACAATTGTACACAATTATGTATGTAATTTTAAATGAGCAATTTTTCCTTTTAAACATTTTTTATATAAAAGCATGTATAAGTCTGTAAAATTGTACAGAACTGTGTAGAATTGTATAGAACTATGCAAAAATATACAATGTAAAAAATGTGTGTGGACATATTCCATGTATAATTTTATACCATTTGTAAGTATATTTATGCATGGTAATGCATGAAAAATTTTTTATCGAGACGTGTGTGGCAATTATCGTGCCATCTTCAAGTTGATAATACGTATAACTTACCTGCTCCGTTATAATCTCTCCCACAACACAAAAGAGAAAAGTATTCATCAATATGATACCCACATTCACCGATGAGTATAATACTTGTGTGACAGCTCCATCTCCATTTGTTTCTATGTCAGTAAGTATCTGTGTATAAGTATATTATAAGAAAATGAAACGAAATATATATATTAAGTTATTTGTTCGATTTGCTTTATTGAACCTTACAATAGTACATAGAAAACCGTTTAGGCAAAAGGTGACACCAAAATAAAATAACAATAGAAGCATCACTAAAGAGTACATAGTTTCAATAGTGTCAACAAATCTGTAAAAAATACAAATATTTAAAAAAATTAAAACCAATAGAATAATACACATATCTAGGAATACATATGTGTATAACCCATACAGAACAGCAAGGTTTCAGCAACCTTATAGTAATAATTCATCGCAAGATTGCAACATTGCCTAAACGCTGCGAAATGTTGCTGCAACACTGATGCAATATTGCAGCAACGGTGAAATGTCCGCCTTCAGAAATATTACAATGTAATATTACAGCAACACAGCAACAATATAATGTATGCAATATATGTTTTCGCGAAGCGCGGTGTACTTCCCTTCTCTTTTAGATTCATAGTGAATGAAGATTTGCAATTTAGAAATATACATATATGTATACCTAAATATAAAATATTGCCTGTTCAATATTATATTCATTATTAATTGACCATTTCTAATAAAAATGTTCTTTGACATGTGCGCTATGTTATATGTATAAAGGAAACTCTATACATATTCTCTATACTTCTCTATTATGAGATAGGATTCTAATATAAGGTAGTAGATTTTCAACGTCCAAATTTAATCACAAATCTTTTCTTGCAACGATTACACGATCTAATAATAAATTTTTCAATAAACAAATTTCACTCCGAGGGCAATAAATTCATGCTGATACCAACAGATGATCCTATTAGTTTAGCAGAATCTCCGTGATCTCATATTAGCAGCCTACCTTATAATAGAAAACTTTCATCTACTAATACAAATAAAACGAGTCTTTTTGAATAAAGATAAGCTTTAAGTATACGCGTTATATAACGCGTGTTATATAACTGAAACCTACTGAATTGTAAAATGTGTGTAAACTATATACAACATATAAATTATACAATATGTGCGGTAAATAACGTTTTGCAAAGCAAATAACAGAGAATATGTGAGATCGTCTAGCTCCTCATATTAAAGATTGTTATTTATGGCAAAGTGTGGAGAAAAAATAAAAAAATTTTGTGTAGAACATTTTTCCAGAGTTATTGCAAAATTTGTCTTGTTAAGTATTTTATTGTCGCAAGAAAGATTCATACCTGATTAATCGTAAATGTTTTCTTACGATATCACTTAGAGCTTCGTTGAAATTCTCACATGAGACTAATCTAATTAATCGGTATCTAAAAATCTCTAACTGGCCACTAACGTGAAGAACTATTAGAACTAAAAAAAGATCTACACACGTTTCAATGATACTTGCTATTAAAGTTACTACAGCATGAAGGAGATATGTTAATTCAAACTGCGGACTCTTATCTGTATCGTAGAAGGTATACGTCTCCAACGGTAACGATTTGCTTCGATTCATGAAATTTATTATTTGCACTGATTCCGTCTCGAAATAAGGTGGTACGAGTACTAAGAAAGATGATGTCATCGCTAAAATATATCCCATTATCATGATTAATCGAGCAGTTCGTGCTCGTCTTATCATCACACGTCTCTCTGTATCCGACTTAAATGCCATCCAATCTTCCGCCATCATATTTAGAACCGACGAAATATCTTGGAAATATAAATATAAATAAAATATTGCTAAGTGTGCTAATTTAAAATATTAAACTATTTATTTTTAATATTTGTAAATTTAAAAATCGGAGGAAACTTGTCTACGTGCTCTATAATTTATTTTGATACATTCCAGTAAACATTAACTAACAAATGTAACAACGTAAAGATTATAATTTCCTTTTCAACAATGTAACATTATGTACATGTGTTAGGTATATTATATTTATATTGTTGAATGGAGTAATTACAATATTGATGTTTTGGAACTGTTGGTTGATGTTTACTATTAACTACACGTAAATAACAATTTTGATATTATAATCCACAACACGTTTATAATAACAATCCGCAATATGTTTGTGTGAACTATCATAAGATAATTTAATGATGTAACGAAATGCTGAACATTTTATTTTAAATAATGCTGGACGTACCTGTTCGTTTTCCTTGAAAAATATAATATTTTATTGATGTTGCCAGGTAGGGTAATGCCGTTTGTAAACTGTTTACTACAAGTACAATATCACCCCAAACTCGTATAGCCGCAAATATCATTGGAATATTAGTCACAAATATTAATAAAAATAAAAGAATCCCTGCATAAAGTTCTGCCCACAAGCTTTTTTTAGCACTTTTATTGGTGTTAGGCCACAAGCCAAACACTTTCAAGCCGAAGCGATATAGTGACACTGCCCATACGTAATCTAACAGTTTTTGTTTTTATGATATAGAATATTTCAATAATAAATACACAGTTGTATATATTGTGTTGAATGGTATTGTCTTAATAAAATATGACAGAAATGTAACTTTATACAATACAAAATTGATAAAAGTTTGTTAAATAAAACAGATAGTCAGACAATTAACATATATCACAAGTAGAAGATATGTTGTTAGTACCTTTATAACCTGAAGAGACCGAAATGTCCATGTCATTGACTAGAACTGCTTCGTTCTTTCAAATAACTCTAAGGTAAAACTTGTACATCACGCATGTTTGTGAAAGAACATAGTTGAAAACGTATGAAAACATATTTGCGGAAGGTTTATTAAATATTAACATTATTATCCCGAGTTATAGTTTGATAACAGTTCTTTGTTTCGCAAAGATCTCTCGAGAATGGTAGCAAATAAAAACGGAACATGTTCAGCGATAAAAAGAGACATATGTTATTTCCCCAGTGTTTTGCGAGCTTTTATTGTAAAAAAATAATGTTGAAATCGATTGTACACGATTTTTTCCATCTTAAGACGCTTGGATCTACATATGCATGCATTTTCATAAAAAAGAAAATATATTTTTAATTAAGCTGTAGAGAGAAGATAAAAGAAATAAAGAACATTGAATACAAAGAAAACGTGGTAATAGTGCATTTGAGTCATAAATATTGCATTTTCCGATAAGTGCCGTAATTATTGTGCATGATTAATGCTACTACCGCTCGATGTTTGGTAAAGAAAAATTACTCTACGAAGACATTGACTTCGAAGTTTTTGCATGTCAACGATAGGAAGACGACTGAGAGAGAAAAAAGAAAATAATGTTGCCTTTGTGGTTTGATGTATTATATTAAAGCATCGTTATATAAACTTTCTCTCATCGCGGCGTAACAATTCTGAGGGAGAGTTTGTCGCTATAGACAATATATGTGACAATATCTTTCGCGATTTCTCTACTAATAAGTAAAATATATTACAATTGTGAAAACAAAAATGTCATAATATTTTAACGAGAACAAAAAGCTTTACGTTTCTAGATCCAGTTGAAAGTGAAGGGTCATTCATAAAGAGATGTATGTAAGTTATGTAACCCTCTTGCTCTTGTTTCACGAAACATCACACGCATTTATAGAGAACAAGTTTTTTTCTCATTTTTCTCTGTTGTTAAGAAATTGTCATTTCTTTTTTAATCCATTTTATACTTAAAACTAAACTAAATATATTTCTCCTTTTACTAGTTACTCGAGAATATTGACCGTCACTATTTAATATTAAACTTAATGTGATACATAAAATCTATTATTTTATTAAACTATTTTTATGACAGTGAAAACATCATATTACAAAATACTTAATAATGTAATTTATAGTAATAAGTATTAACACTAGTAAACAAAACAAAATTTCTGCCATTTATTTCTGCAACATTTCTGCCATTTATTTCTACAAGAATTATTAAATACAACTATATCATAACTATTCATTTCCAAACACATCCATATTTTCCGTGAATATGTTAAGACACCATCATTCAATCACGTTTTGCCAGTAAAACCGATATATAACCACATGATGTTTTTAACACCTAAAAATAATTATAGCTTTATTCCGGAACAAAATTTTCATATGTATTGTAATTAATTTGACATATACATGTATGTACGAAATATGTCCATATGTTTTCTTTCTCTCGTATAATCTCTGTCTGTATAGGTAGAAAAAACAATAAGAAGAACAATTAAAAAATAATTAGAAAATGACTATACCGTGGTCCTTTTACAAACATAAAATTATGATTAGATTCTGCAATATTCTATATATAATTATGTACATATAATCACATGATAAATATAATTATTACAAGACTATACAAGCAACCTTTCTTGTCTTCTGTTTAAATTTCACTTTTCAACAATCACGCATATATGTTTGTTTAAAGATTTATATAAAAGTAATCTATAATATTTGATGGAACAAATTTGAACTGACAGTTCTCGGCACAATTCCACATTTGCTATTGTCTACAAAGAAACAAAATTAAAGATCAAGATTCTAATTAGCCTTACACACACACTTTTACAGCTAATGAGGTACATGCTTTTCACATTTATGGTTTAATTAATGAATAAAATTTTCATTTAAACATCAAACAATTATATGCACAATTATATACGGAATATATACAAATAGTTACAATAAAAGTCCACATTTCCTGCAAAAATTCTGAATTAATATATAAAAATTTTAAATAATTTTACACTGCAATAAGTAGTCATCGTTAGGGGAATAACTTTTCCTGCGGTAATGTGAAGACAACGACTGGCTCGTATCATTAATAAAATAAGATTTCTAGCATTTTTAGATTCCAAATTGTACCACTCCAGATCATACATAGCACGAAACACTGCATCACTCTTAACAAAATACATATGCAAAGATATATTAATATCGCATGTGTAAACTCCAGCATGAATGATATTCAATTTGATAATAAATGCTTACACAATTATAACATGCAAAGACTCTTTGGTACATTTTAATAATACATTAACATTTGAAAATTATTAGCTCAGAGATATAAAACGGATTAAATTTACAATAATGATAAGTACAATAGATTAAATTTATACTATATTTATACAAGCCCAATAAAAAATTTTTGATGCACGAGCATGAATAAATATATGTATATGGTATACATATAAAAATATGCAATGTAAAGATATGTCTGGACATATTTCATGTATTATTTTATACTATATGTATGTATATTTACGCAGGTGAAAAATTTGTGTATTTTTGTTAAAAAACATGCCGGTTAAAACTTTTGTGTTAAGCTCTTGTGTTAATCGACCTCAAATGTAAATTTTTTTTAATAACTGAAAAGAAATGTTAAAACGACACAACGTGTACTTATTTTTTAATCTCACAGGATACATATGTATATTCAATATTATTAGTAACAAGATTTATCGGTTAAATTTAACAGAATAAAATGTTAATTTTATTCTATATAACATAAGTGAGAGTTATTTCGAATCGTCATTTGACTTCTTACATCTGTAAAATGTAAAAATTATATTTTTTTAAAATTCATTTTGTCATTAAAAATATTATGTTCATTTTACAAAAAATTATGTCAAATTATTTTAAGATTTGCATTTATTTTGTGTTAAAATATTAACAGGGTATTATGTATGATTATTGAACATATCCATATTAAAAAATCCATGTTAAATAAACACAAAAATTTGGGTGGACCGTTTAGGACATTTGATATCTGTTAAATTTAACACAAAATTTTCATCTGTGTATGAATAGTCATGCATCAAAAATTTTTTTATCGGGAGGTGTTTGGCAATTATATCGTGCCACCTTTAAGTTATTATATGTACAACTTACCTGCTCCGTTATAATCTCTCCCGCAAAACAAAAGAGAAAAGTGTTCATCAATAAGAAAATTGTAGCCACTGATGAGTATAATGCTTGCACTACAGCCCCATCTGATTCTATGTCAGTAAGTATCTGTGCATAAGTATATTATAAGAAAATGAAAAGAACCATGTGCCTTAAGTTATTTGTTCGATTTGCTTTATTGAACCTTACAATAGTACATAGAAAACCGTTTAGGCAAAAGGTGACACCAAAATAAAGTAACAATATAAGCATCACTAAAGAGTACATACTTTCAATAGTGTCAACAAATCTGTGAAAATAAAAATATTTAAAAAATTAAAATAGAAATATATAGAATAATATGCATGTCTAGGAATACATATGTGTATAAGTAATACACATGTACACCTAAATATAAAATGTTGTCTATTCAATATTATGTTCAATATTAATTGACCATATTTAATAAAAATGTTTTTGGCATGTGCGCTATGTTATATGTATGTATACAGAAAAGTTCTCTATTATGAGATAGGATTCTTATGTAAAGCATTTGAATTTTACACGATCTATAATTCGCGACAGAATTCAAGATAGAATTCTATTTTATAATTTCATATATTAAATTGACATATGTTTGTAGATTAGGTTAGTGTAGGTTATAACATTTACATATGGATGAGGTCCGTTTTCCGTGCCAATTGGACACAAACACTCACAGCAATCAATGCTTAAGGTTTTTCATTAGACCAGATACAATTAATCAATCACGCATTTTCATGCACTACACATATTTTATGCATCTTTTCTATTTACAAAATTGGAGCATTATAATTATAATTCTGATTGTTCAAATGTTTTCTGTATTACACGATACATAAAAATTTTTTAATGGAATTCTGTCTCGAATTCTGTTGCACATTATAAATCGTGTAAAGTGGACTTTAGACAGTAGATTTTCAGCGTCCAAATTTATTCACAAATCTTTTCTCGCAACGATTACACGATCTAATAATAAATTTTTCAATAAACAAATTTCACTCCGAGGGCAATAAATTCATGCTGATACCAACAGATGATCCTATTAGTTTAGCAGAATCTCCGTGATCTCATATTAGCAGCCTACCTTATAATAGAAAACTTTCATCTACTAATACAAATAAAACGAGTCTTTTTGAATAAAGATAAGCTTTAAGTATACGCGTTATATAACGCGTGTTATATAACTGAAACCTACTGAATTGTAAAATGTGTGTAAACTATATACAACATATAAATTATACAATATGTGCGGTAAATAACGTTTTGCAAAGCAAATAACAGAGAATATGTGAGATCGTCTAGCTCCTCATGTTAAAGATTGATATTTATGGCAGAGTGTGGAGAAAAAAATAAAAAATTTTTGTGCAGAACATTTTTCCAGAGTTATTGCAAAATTTGTCTTGTTAAGTATTTTATTGTCGCAAGAAAGATTCATACCTGATTAATCGTAAATGTTTTCTTACGATATCACTTAGAGCTTCGTTGAAATTCTCACATGAGATTAATCTAATTAATCGGTACCTAAAGATCTCTAACTGACCACTAACGTGAAGAACTATTAGTACTAAAAAAAGATCTATACACGTTTCAATGATACCTCCTATTAAAGTTGTTATGGCATGAAGGAGATATGTTAATTCAAACTGCGGACTCTTATCTGTATCGTAGAAGGTATACGTCTCCAACGGTAACGATTTGCTTCGATTCATGAAATTTGTTGTTTGCACTGGTTCCGAGCCAAAATAAGGTGGTACGAGTAATACGACACATCCCACCATCGCAAGAATGTATCCCATTGTCATGATTAATCGAGCAGTTCGTGCTCGTCTTATCATCACACGTCTTTCTGTATCCGACTTAAGTGCCATCCAATCTTCCGCCATCATATTTACAACCGACGAAATATCTTGAAAATATAAATATTAATGAAATATTGCTAAATGTGCTAATTTAAAATATTAAACTATTTATTTTTAATATTTGTAAATTTAAAAATCGGAGGAAACTTGTCTACGTGCTCTATAATTTATTTTGATACATTCCAGTAAACATTAACTAACAAATGTAACAACATAAAGATTATAATTTCCTTTTCAACAATGTAACATTATGTACATGTGTTAGGTATATTATATTTATATTGTTGAATGGAGTAATTACAATATTGATGTTTTGGAACTGTTGGTTGATGTTTATTTATGTCTATTAACTACACGTAAATAACAATTTTGATATTATAATCCACAACACGTTTATAATAACAATCCGCAATATGTTTGTGTGAACTATCATAAGATAATTTAATGATGTAACGAAATGCTGAATATTTTATTTTAAATAATGCTGGACGTACCTGATCGTTTTCCTTGCATAATAATATATTTTATTGTTATTATCAGTAAGGGTATTGTCATTTGTAAACTGCTTATTACAAGTACTATATCACCCCCAACTCGTATAGTCGCATGTACCATTGGAACATTAGTAACAAATATTAATAAAAATAAAATAGACCCTATTTGAAGTTCTGTCCACAAATTTCTTTTAGCACTGTTATCGTTATTGGGCCACAAGCCAAACACTTTCAAGCCGAAACGATATAGTGACACCGCCCATACGTAATCTAACAGTTTTTGTTTTTATGATATAGAATATTTCAATAATAAATATACAGTTGTATATATTGTGTTGAATGGTATTGTCTTAATAAAATACGACAGAAATGTAACTTGGTACAATATAATATTGATAAAAATTTGATAAATAAAGCAGATAGTCAGACAATTAACGTATATCACAAGTAGAAGATATGTTGTTAGTACCTTTATAACCAGAAGAGACCGAAATGTCCATGTCATTGTCTAACATGAAGAGAACTGCTTCGTTCTTTCAAACAATTCTAAAGTAAAAGTTGATCGTCACACATGTTTGTGAAATAACTTAGTTGAAAACGTATGAAAACTTATTTGCGGAAGGTACATTAAATATTAACATTATTATCCCGAGTACTAGTTTGATAACAGTTCTTTATTTCGCAAAGATCTCTCGAGAATGGTAGCAAATAACAACGGAACATGTTCAGTGATAAAAGGAGACATATGTTATTTCCCAGTGTTTTGCGTGCTTCTATTGTAAATAAATAAAGTTGAAATCGATTGTACACGATTTTTTTCCATCTTAAGACGCTTGGATCTACATATGCATGCGTTTTCATAAAAAAGAAAATATATTTTTAATTAAGTTGTAGAGAGAAGATAAAGAAATAAAGAACATTGTATACAAAGAAAAAGTGGTAATAGTGAATTTGCGTCATAAATATTGCATTTTCCGATAAGTGCCGTAATTATTGTGCATGATTAATGCTACTACCGCTCGATGTTTGGTAAAGGAAAATTACTCTACGAAGACATTGACTTCGAAGTTTTTGCATGTCAACGAAAAGAAGACGACTGAGAGAGAAAAAAAGAAAATAATATTACCTTTGTAGCTTGATGTATTACATTAAAGCATCCTTAGATAAACTTTCTGTCATCGTGGCGTAACATTTCTGAGGGAGAGTTAGTCGCTAACTATAGACAATATACGTGACAATATCTTTCGCGATTTCTCTACTAAGAAATAGGTAAGTGAAATATATTACAATTGTGAAAACAAAAATGTCATAATATTTTAACGAGAACTAAAAGCTTTACGTTTCTAGATCCAGTTGAAAGTGAAGGGTCATTCATAAAGAGATGTAATAAAGTTATGTAACCCTCTTGCTCTTGTCTCACGAAACATCACACACATTTATGGAGAACAAGTTTTTTTCTCATTTTTCTCTGTTGTTAAGAAGTTGTCATTTCATTTTTAATCCATTTTATATTTAACACTAAACTAAATATATTTCTACTTTTATTAGTTACTCGAGAATATTGACGATCTCTTGGTGACACGATATTTGAATCCGAAATTTGTAAGTGTAGAGACAGAAAATATTTTACTTTGCGTTGTTAATTTCAATTATATTCGGCGATAAATTAAAATTTATAATATGGATGAAATTAAAAAAGGTATAATTTCTTGGCAATGTTTTTATAAACCTATCGACGAATCTAACAGCGAAAATTAAGATGCGTGTGATTACGTATATTGTTCATGCGAGATGTACCTCGAAAGTGTCGCAAGGCATACAGAATAAATGACGTAAGATCCAGAAAAAAACCTTCTCGCACGATACACCTAGATATCGATATTGTAATTGAATATTATAGGTAATCTTTAACCGCAAATAAGGTATAAAAATTATTTATAACGTTTCAGCATTCTCGACAAAATATTTAGATTACGTCATATTATTTCACTTAATATGTATACCAATACTGTTAATAAAAAATGGATAGGCTGCAAGAGATTAGCTCGACGAAGACATCAATAATATTCGCCATATTTCAAAATTAATAAATATTTAATTAAAATTATCTAAATCACTCACAAATCGTTTTAATCGCACTTCATAATCAATCACAAATCAATTCCTCATACAGAATACAAACGATTCTATATAAAACCTTTGTTTAATTGTTCTATTGCAACTGATTGCAAGTGCCGGGTAGAAAAATAATTAATTAATTACCAATAAACAAATGACTCGCAAATCTTTTCAATTGGACTTCAAACATTTTCATATGAGATACAAATGATTGCCTCTAGTAGTGATTTAAAAATAAGTTTATTTCCGGTCAAGTGTGAGCGAATGATGGCAGCAGTGGCAGTGGCATTATGCAGGATTCGCATTAGATCCGGTGTCTGACGTACGACGTCCAATATCTAATATGATTGGTTCATACTTTTGGTTCCTCGTGGAATTTAAAAGTTTATACCAATCATATTGGATATTGGACATCGTACGTCGGCTATCGTATCCAGTGAATCCTGCATCACGCGGTACGCGGTACTACAATCAACTAGGATTGCTGGAGTATAAGCAACGAGGAGTCATTCGAGATCTTTCGATCGCTAAAGAATTGATAGTAATCGATATTGTTTAACAGAACCGCCATAAAATGTAAGTTGTGTACTTGTTTCGTATATATACGTCGTTCAATTTAATTTAAGTTCCACATTTATCGTTAATTTATCGTGATTTGTAAACATAACCTTAATTACGTTGCGCGTAATCGTGAACTTATTTGTTTGTTAGTTTGCATTATTGTTAATCTACGACCTGCAAAAAGTTGGCAAATTTTCAGTACCCGGTGTTATGTGATGTATTACTCATTCTTGTCTTGTGTTTCAGGTCTCTGACAAAACCGAAATCCGAGATGACGCCGGAGGAATTGGCGAAGAGGGAGGAGGAAGAATTTAACACCGGGCCTCTCTCAGTTCTGACACAATCCGTCAAGAATAATACCCAGGTGTTAATAAATTGCAGGAACAACAAAAAGTTATTGGGACGAGTGAAGGCCTTCGATAGACACTGCAACATGGTTTTGGAAAATGTAAAGGAAATGTGGACGGAGCTGCCGCGCACGGGGAAAGGCAAGAAGAAAGTACGTGTAACGTATATCTCTAATAAATTATTCAAATCTGATCTTGGTGAATTATCCAAGAGGTATTCGTTTAAATTTATATAAATTTATTAGTTTCAATTTTACATAGTGATAATTATTTTGTACCTACGTGGTTATACTTTTTTAAAAATATATTAATATAAAAATTTCCAGCCCGATGGCGGATAAATTTTCAATTTGAAAAGGAAAAAGAGAATATAAGATGCGTTCCGTTTCACACACGAGATGCATCATTTATCCTTCTTTAATATTTGGCGAATAACAAGGATAAACAATGCATCGTGAAACAGAATGCATCTATAGTTAATTGATGACACTTTGAGAAGTGAATAAATATTCCCATATATTAAAGATATTCCATTGCAAAAGTTTAAGAAAAAATTAATTAAAACGTAAATACAAGTAACTTTTGAACGACAAATTTCATACTAATCGAGATTCCACAAACAGGCGAAACCGGTAAACAAAGACAGATTTATTCCAAAGATGTTTCTACGTGGCGATTCCGTAATCTTGGTTCTGAGGAATCCACTGGCGACTGCAGCGGGAAAGTGATAAATTAAGGATAACTTTAAACTCGACTTTAATATTAAGACTAATGCTCTAATAAAGGAAATAAAACTTTTATATGAACGCAACAGCGTTTATTAATGCGAGACCTCGCTCTGCACAAATTCTCAATCTTGCGCATAAGTTTGTAAAATATCAAGTAAAGAAGTGCGTTAAGCAGGACATGTTTATTTCTTATGAACTGTGTACAACATTATCAATCCTTCTCGGCGATCGCGGTTAAATGCTTATCAATTTCTTGCTCGTTCAGTATGCTGTAACAGAAAAATTGTCAATGAAGAAACGGTACAACGGTGTGGGAATAAAATTTTCGACATCCGCATACGAGATGTCGAGATGAAAGTCATGTCGTCAATTACCGGAACTTGGGATTGTCCTTCGATACAACCCCCACCTCGATTTCCGTTGGTTTGAAGTCTACGGACAAGACTGTGGACAGACAGGTAATGGCCAGTTGTACAGTCTCGTCGAAATCGTAATTCTGTTTCTTCTTCAATTTCTTCTCGAGATAGGAATTGGCTTCCGTCTGCTTCGCCCCGACGGAGATGGCTCTGTAACCGCAGAAGTATCCCGCCGGATCGGCCTTGTAGATGCACGGGCCCTTTTCCTTGTCGTAAGCGATGAGCATCATGGAACATCCGAGGGGTCGCATCTCCGCATTCTGCGTATACACTTGGCTAATGTCGGCGACACGCTGGCACAGAGCGTCCACAGGTATCTCGTAGCCGTACTTATATTTAAAGTGAGCTGCTTCGTAACGGGCGCGCTGTACCTGAGACTTGCTGTCGGCTGTGGAATAGAAGTAGGAGGATAACACTGGATATACGACACGGCCAACAGTTTATCCTGACTCACCTATCATGCCAGTCATGACGCAACCGATGTACTCGGTCAGCTGAAATACATGGGTGACGCTGGAGGCATCGAGTAACTTGTCCTACAAAAGGAAGACGATACATTACTTTGATATAAATACAAGTATGACCTGAGGCATGTGTTCGCAAATGCCGGGCAACTATTTCCAAATTCTTAGTTGGTAAGGCAACACAAAGGAGAGAACTAAACTGTATGGGAATTCTGTAACTTGCTACCGAGGCTTTTCGGTACCGTTAACTAGCAACAAAGCATGAACAGCTGTCTCTTTTCGAAGATCGTCTTGGCCATTGGCCATCGCTAGTTAACGATACCGAAAAGCATCGAAAGCAAGTTACAGAATCCCAATACTGGGCAGGTTTCTGATAGAGTTGAAGATCTTTGGAGGTTATCTTACAGGCACTTTCTTCTGTGTTGCAAAAACGGCCGTCTCGACCCCTTTGACAGCTACGGACGTCAGACCACCTTGATTGATGGCTTTGAAGGCGTATTCTGCAGGAAACAAGAAGCACGGGGGACATTAAACAAGTTACAAAATGCAAATCGCGCAGAGTCATCGATGTATGCATTTGCGAGGGCGAGTAGATCGTTCGCGCGAGGGCGACGATATCGATAATTGTTTGCGTAGCGTTTAAAAAAAATGTACCTTCTGATCCTTACCTACTTGGTAAAGCCGGCCCTCCGGCGAAAAGATCGTGATATGCCTGTCAAAACCAGCACTGCTACCGCGCGCCATGTTCGCTGATACGGGAATACGGCGATTACGCTTCCCCCCGACTCGACCGATTTGATGTGAAAACGTCAAATCATAAGTCTGTTCTTGGCAGCTGAACTTTTTGCACCGCTGCTGAAAGTGTACATGTATACTACACCGTAGGTGCGTTCCGAAATGTACCGAGGGCCAGTTTCACCAGGTTTCACAAACGTCGGTTGATAACTTGTCCGAATCCCCTTTGATTAAAGTGCCTGTAAAAGATCTTTTCAGCCGATAAGAATAGATACTTCGAGATCAATTTTAATGGTACTTGTAGCGATAAAAGATTCAGAATATGAGCCGAAAGGTCTGTTCGCGTCGCATGCTCCAACGTGCTCCAGCTTGCTCCAACGACCAGTGCCGTCACTTAAATCGTGAATAAAATGACGGTATTGGTCGTTGGAGTAAACTGGAGCATGTTGGAGCTGGAGTCCCTGTAGTAAAGGCTCACACACAATACCAGGCAACAGGCAACAGGAACAGGAAATAGAATTTTTGACGCGTTGGATTCGTCGGGAATTTTCTTCCAACCAATCCAACGCGTCAGAAACCCAGAT